GACAGCCTGGATGATGTAGATTACTATTTGGCACAAGAAGATGAAAAAGAAGACGAAGAAGCTGAAGGAACTGTCAGACCTGCAGGAGAGACGGCGGCAGGAGTGAACCCCAGGGACATGATCCCTGCGCAGACTCCCTTCTCTAAGGGGAGGGAAACAATTTCACAGCGAGCTCCTTTCTCCAGGGGAAAGCTGCTAAGGGGAGGCGATTTCAGGAGGAACTCATGCAGCGGCACAACTTACAACATGTCCACTGCGTATCGCAAAACCACCGCTCTGCCCAGCGCAGGACAGGGTGAAGGCAGCTTCCTTAACGCACGCAGCGTGCTCACCACATTAATGTACCAAACAGTTTCCCAGAAATGAATAAAAAAAACAGTAGGACCCTATGATCGGCTAGGCTCGGATTTCAAGATGAAAAAGGACCACCATAACTAAAGTTCCACCAGAGACTTCTAATACGTTTAGGAACAAGTGGGTTTGATCTACTTAACGATGCAAAGAGCTGGAAATATCCTTGCAGGCAATATACGATCGGAACAGGTAAAACCACAGCTCCTCCCACTAAAAGGTATATCCCCGTTACAGAAGAAAATAGTACTTGCCTGAAAGCCTTGTAAATTGGTCGGTACCAACAGAGAAAGGCACAAGGGGTGAATAAAATAAACCACAGGATCGAGAGACCAAAGTCTACTCCTCTTTCCGTCTGGACTGTGAACCATGCCAGGCAAGCGAGCAGGTTTAGGAGCAGGGTAATCGAATGCACTGTTCAGGATGGGGCCGGGGGGGAGGAGAGAGAGGAAAAAAACCACCAGTAAATTCCTGGAAAACTCAGCAGCATCCCCTATCTCTCGCTGAACACATGGAGCTCTGCAGAAATTAAGGAGACTTTGGGCCACCTAGTCTCCTTGCCTCCCTTGAAAGGAAAACGGAGGTTTCTTAACCGAAGAACCTCATCTGATCCTGCTGCTTACAACCAAATCTTACATCTTTTCAGAGCTCCAAAATTGACAAAGACGGTTGAGACTGTTTTGCACCCAATCGCCGAACTGCGCTATCCCGCTTGTCTTTCAGAGTCTCAGGAGAACTGCTGAAGTCTCCATTAAACAACAATCAAAATTCTGTCATGAGTGAACTATTCCCAAAGCACAGAACTTGGAGTCCTTTACATTTGCCTTCATAAAAAAGGAAGGGAGACGTCACTTTACCCTTGCAGACGACACCGACAGAATCTACTGTAGGGCAAAGCTCAGCATCCGATACAGAACCTTCTCAGAAAGAATTTTCATTGCAGTTCAAGCCGTTACTTACGCATCCACAAGTAATACAGCATCTTGCATATCCGCTGGTAGTCAGCCGGGATGTCTGCAGAGAAATCCTGATAAAAACACGGCTTGATCGGACACTTCTTGGGAAGAGGCGGCCAGTTGTTTTGCCTCGCTGCGGAAAGGAGAAAGGAGCAGTTCTTCACTTGCTCTTCTCTCACCGAAAGACTAATTCGCACACCGTCATTTGCAAGTAGCCATTCGTATATACTGACATTAAAACCTTGGAAGAGGCTAGGCCTTGGTTAAGCGACTAGGTTTGAGCAGGGACGCGTTAACTCCGCTGGCGGCAGCGAGGCAGACCAGCCTAGCCTGAGGGCTTTCCTCTGTGGGAGGCAGAATTCCCCCGCCACGGCCAAAGGCCCGTCACAACCACGGCCACGCAGCACTACAGGTCCGGATTCAGCCAATTAAAACCAAGCTTAGGGGAAAACATCGTTTTGCTGTGGTTGAGAGAGCCTCGAGACTGAAAAAAGCTTTATTGCTCTCAGTGAAAAGCATCACGCAACAGCTCAGAGACGGATACAAAATTGGCGTTTGAAGAACTTAACGTGGCCAAATGCAGATGCTGAGAGCGCGCTCGAGGGCAGAGACCCGCCAGAGCTGGTCTCCAGCATCTCATCCCCGAGCTCGTTTCCCCACCTGGCAAGTTCTGGGGTGACAGGTACGGTCCCAAGAGGGTTGCCACAGCTGTGAGGGACCAGAGGAAAGACACGTGGCTTCTAAAAAAGCCGCATACACTTGGACAGGCCGAGCCTTCATCACATCCTGACAGACCAGGCGCCCCAGGCTTCCCTGGGCATCCCACTCATTGCGGGCAGGGCGCTGCAGGAAGCGGTACTCACGATTGATGCTGGCTGTGTTACTCTGCAATTCCCTTTCCTTCTTCTCCAACTCGGCCGCCTTCCGCTCTAGTTCTGCCTGCTGCTGAAGAAGCCCAGCCTGCGCTGCTGCAGCCACAGCCTAAAGTAGGGGGAGAAAAAAGTTAAGTCCCTCCCTAACCGAGGCCAGTGGCAATGCCACCAGCAAACACACCAGATGCCAAACTGGAACGGAAGGAAAGGCAATTCAATAGCAACGATTGAGGACAATTTGAAAGCTGAACGCCCGCCGCTGATCTGAAACATCTCGAGGCTTTCTGCCTCACCTGCTGGAAGGTAAAAATCAAGATCAATGCAGAACTCCACCCAGATGTCCCTCTCTTACCCCATGGGAAGATAGGGCTGGAAGAGCCCTCAGGAGGCTACCCAGTCTGTTGCCCATCCTCTGTGCCCTTCCCTTTCAGCAAAGCCACGCTTTCCTTGCAGCTTCTTCTACCTCCCAGTCAGCCTCGCTGCTCTAAGTGCTCTTACAAGAGGGCAGCGAGCAGGACTCCCGAGTTCACCAAGACAATTCCCTTCCCAGCTAGGAGAGGAGGTCAAAAGGAAAGGCAAGGCAGCCGTCTCCCATGCATCTCTTCTACCCGCTCGCTATTCCGAGAACTGACCCCTTCTCCTAGCAGCCTCGGCTTCCCTGCTCTTTGGATGAGGCGGTCCCGGCAGTCGGGTACTTGCCAGCCAGCCTAAGCTGCAGCTGCAACGTATAGCTAGACTGCATTTAGACTCCTGGGACCGAGCGTGTCCGACCAGTCACCAGAACTAAGCTAAAAGCATTAGCAGGATCATTTCAGTGTTTGCAGAGGGAAGCCGGAGCGAAGTGAGCTCTGCTACCAGAGGGACAGGGGAAAGGCACGAAGAGAACTGCGTGTCTGTATTCCCTATCGAGATCTGCTTCGCAAGGCAGGTACAAATGCAAGTTTAAAAGATCGCCCGCAGCTTCCCACACCCAACCCCAGAGACTCCCGTTCCCCTCCTATTCCCGCACGCCTCCAGGGGCCCACGGGCGCTCCTTCACGCTCTCCAGCCCGGCTCTTGGGAAGGTGGCAGCGAGGGGTCGCCGTACCTGGGGAGTGGGCTCCACGGACGTCTGCAGAACAGCAGGATGCGAGCGGCCGGAGGGCTGCGTGGCTGGCGTCGTCCGTGCTGCATTTGTCTGCATGTAAGTCGCAAGCAACAAGGCAAAAACATTACATATCGCTTCTTTTAGCAAAGGATAGTTCAAGTTTTAGCACAACTAGAACAGAAAGCACTAGCAGGAAGCGACTCTGCGTTTTCAGAAGTTTGTTAGTTCCTTAGTGCCCTGGGGGAGCAGCACCTGAGGATTACGGGTATTAGGCAAAGGAGAAACAAAAAGGGATTTCGATCAGGTGTTTGAACTGCAAATATTGCTTTACCCCGGTTTCCTGTTCTCCTTTTCCCATCTCACACAGGACAGCAGCCAGGAAATACGAATGAAGCTCTTGCGGCGATCCCTCAACGATATCGCCACAAGCAGTTCAGCTCCCAACCCAGAGACCAAATAAATATGGACGTGCCCTGCCACAAAACATCTTCCCCTTCGCACTTCATATAGCTTAACTGCGAGCCAGCAGCAAGTCTGAGAGAAGCCGTTCCGTGCGAGTGGAGAGCTCCAGCCGGGAGTTTATTAGTGCTCCAGTGCGGGAGCAGTTGCTTGCAGCTTGCCACGCACGCAAAGAGCTACCGTCCGTGGGGAAGTCAGCTGCAAACACCTCACTCTTCATCTTTTAAGCTGCACCTACCAAGGGACCTTCTACGCCGCTAAAACCGCTGCCAAGATACCTAGAGCAAAGACACATGGCACGTACCAGCTGGGAGCTCTCGGAAAAGGGGTTGAATTCATCCAAGCCACTTTGGCTAGCGTTTGTGAGCTGTGTCACCGAGGGATCCTGAAAGGAGAGCGAGCAAAGACAAATCAGCATCGGACACAGGTCATCACGAGCTCGGACGTTATCCGCCCCGCCTGCCTTCCATCCACCCGTTAACTGGGAACAGGATGGGGTGAAACGCACCCCTGCCACGGGTGGATGGCCTTGGCTGGCAACGAATTTAAATAACCAAGGAGATGACTATCAGCAAGGCAAGATTTGTGGGCAGAAGTAATCTCCCGTTCAGCCAAGAGGTACATTTGAAGAACCGCAACACGCTTTTGGCACAGGAGCCCTTTCTGCAGATTACTGCCGCTCACCTACAGCGAGTTATTCCCCGTTTCCAGGGACTCGAAGCGGGACCACGGATTCATTCACCCGCGGTCGGGGAGCTGCTGGACACCCAGGACCACCTCCCAAACCTCACCCGCGCCACAAAGCGAGTGGGGATCCACAAAGCACAGCAGAGCCTCACAAAATGAGTTTCCAGGTACGACTCGGTCCTGGCTGATAGGTGTCAGCTGCCACCCGGGGCATTTGGGCCAGCAAGCTAAGATGCCAGAGATTGCTCTGAAAAGGTGGAACAGCCAGGAGAACCGAGCTGGAGGCGTGACACCGAGTGCTTTCGGAGGTTTTCATTCCGCCAGCATAACAGCTGCGTTCACCTGTACTCACAGCATCTCCCACTCGCCTCCGACAAATAGTCTGAATGTTTAAAAAAAGGCGCTCTGCACGTCTGCTGAAAACGCCTTTCCTCCCTCACCTGCAACGAGCTCAGCTATTTTTATCTTCCCTTTTACACACGCTACTTTCCATAAAAAGATCCCTCTCTGGTAGCCAGACTTGGACCTCTGGAGTCTTTCTCTCCCCAGTTATTGGAGAAACGAGGTACTTTTTGAAGTCAGAAATCCTACTGCGAGAACAGCCTGGCAACCTGATAGCTGGGTGTAGGTAAAAAAAGAAAGTAAATTAAAAGTGATTTTTTATCCCTCCCTCCCTCCCTCTTGAGCTCAGTCATTTTAATTTTGTGGTTAATGGGGTGAGAAGCAATTGAGGCTGCGACAAGGTAAGAGCGAGCGATCGAGGTGTACAGGGGCTGACGGAGCCCACGTGCTGCAGAAAAGTCCTTTGGCTTGTCTGCAACCCGCTGGAGGCATTCCCCGGGTTTTTAGCGCAACCTCCTGCCGAGCAAGATGCGTGCAGAACAGTTAATGAGTAACCTCACGCATCTCCTCGATAGCAGGCACTCCCTACGCGACAGGTTGCACTAGTTTATGAATCACCCCCGGGTGAGGGATCTCGGGCGACGTTTCGGATGCTGCACAACTCCCCGGCCAGGCAGGGCTGTTTAAAAAAAATAAATAAATAAATAAATGGGGGAGCACCAGCAGAACCGCCACACTGGAAATAAGGGCTGCAAGGACTCGAGGCACAGGTTTTCCTTCGCTACTTACTCCTCTGGAGGCTTTAGCTTAACCAGTTTTGCAGATGCATGGGCTGTCGACACAAGTTTACAAGTCAGTTAACGCATGATAGCTACTGCGTGCTAGCACGATACCCTGTAATCCAGACCAGGCGAGGGCCCAGCCCAACGAAAGTCCAGCAGAAGACGACTGCACAAGGAAGAGAAACTCCCCTGAGGTATGGGAAGAGGAAAGCAAAACCTGCGTAACCACTTCAAGAGCTTGAACGATCAGGCTGGGAGGAAAGCGCTCAGAAATCAGGAGAAACACTAGAATACTGAGGCGAAACACACGGTTCCTTCTTCCCGTCGCTCAGCTCCGTTCAAAGAGAAAGGCCCCGACTTCAGCGGGGGCTCACCAGCGCCGCGTTGCTATCGGAAGGGCAGGCTGCCGGTGGCCCGAGCGGGGCAGGGAGAGCAGCGCCACCGTTTCACTGCTTCCCGCTGCAGGACAGTTTGATTTCGAAGGGAGACGACCTCTCATTATATCGCGTAGTTTAAAAAAAAAAAAGAATTACTTAATTAGGCAGCAGGGCCAAGGCAAGGCAGCTCAGCTCAACTCGCTTGCTATTGTGCAAGCGCGTCTAAAATAGCTATACAAAGAGCGGGGAATTTGCCACAGAGCTGCAGTGTGTCTGGACATGTGCGCCTGTGCCCTGGATAGGGCAGGAAGGAAAACGGCAGCTGCGGAACCGAGGGTGGTGTCAAGGCACCGGCTTCCGCGAGCCCGGACCACGCAGCCGGAACGGTGAGTCAGCGCGAGAAACGCAGAGGGGATGAATGAGGAGTTGCCCGCAAACTTCACGTTTTACAGTTATTTTCTGCACGCTACAGACTTCAAAAGACAGTTGACCCTCCCGAAACAAGCACGAGCCCGACTCGTTACGCTGTGAAACGACTTAATTCAGCCAGTGAACCACTCAAAGCCACGTTACCCGGCTGTCCCTCCTCCGAGGAAGTAACGGCGCGCCCCTCCCTGCCCCAAAGGCCCCGCGTGCCTCTCCTTTCGGAGGGTTTAGTTGTTAGGACCCCCAGTTGAACTCGAGCAATTCTTCCCAACCCGTTTCCTGCTTCAGAGCTAAGGAAGAGCCGGAGCACCCGAAGGCTCTCTTTCCTTCTCCAGCTATTCCGTTTCATTTAACAAGTACGGCCGGCCGCAGGCTTCGCGCTCGCAAGTCCATCATTCGACCGATCTGCAGAATGCCAGCGAGCAGATCCCCCTTTGTTGCCCTTCCTACCACCCCTTCCACAAGCGGCAGGGACACGTGATGGCCTTTTTCATGGCTTCAGATTCACCAGTGCAGAATAACCTCGTGTTTGGACCGAGTTGCACTGACGCGAAGATTAGAACTGTTTTCAAACGCGGCGTTCAACGCAAATACGAAGTTGCTGTCGCACCGTGCCAGCTGGTAGAGCTGCCGGAAGATTTTGATACAACAGGTTTGTGCAAGAAAGGATGTTCTTCCCTTTCTTTCTGTTCCGCAGGTTGAAGAAACAAAACAAAACGAGATGCCTCTCCAGATGAGATCAAGGCAAGAGAACTCAAAGGAGAATCACCTTAAGGGAACTTAACACGGTGGCTGTCTAAATACCACAGTGACTGCCCCAAATATCGCCAGTCCTGCAGTCAGCCGCCAGCGCGGGGCCTCAGAGCGCCGCCGCCACCTGGAAGATGCATCGAGAGAAACCTCGAGGATTTTTGATTATCGGTATCTCTAAAGAAGATGGAAGTTCCCAGCCCTGCCTGAAGCTTGCATCAAAGTTTTGGAGGTAGGTGCCACTTACAGCAGGTTACTGAATAAACGAAGGCAGTTACTGATCTCTCGTTAACCGGTTACAATAAGTAACAGAAAGAAGAGCCAGAGATATTTTTAACAGGACCAAACCAGCTTAGTCTATACCAAGCTTAGCGAACATCATGAACAACGTCTCCTTAAAAGGCAAAGACCCCCAGTTATGTCAGGATTCGCAGAGTACGAAGCGCTACACTGGGATCCACAACAAGGGAAGACGACCCCGGTGCTCTGCCCAAGAGATATTCATCAGCGTGACAAGGCTGGGAGGGTGAAGACGCCTCCGGTCTTTCAGCACGATCTCCAGAGCGCGTGGAAGGGGATGGCGGCGCCTGCCGGGCGGGCACACCGTGTGTCCGGGTCCCCCCCCCCGGCCCCCCAGCCCTGCGCAGATCCAAACCCCGGCAGGGAACGGGCTCGTTTCATCGGATTTACTAGACCGGGGCAGCGCCGTCCTACATCGTGAGATGCCATTTTCACATCGGAGAGACAGGGCTTCGAGGCTTCGGGCAGCAGCAGTCGGAGATTCCTCACGTCCAGCTGCTGATGACAGCGGAAATTTTTCTTTAAAAAAAAAAAAAAACAAAAACAAAAGAAGGGACAAAGGTGAAAGCAAAACCTCACGCTCCCGAAAGGAGGACGTAAAGCCCGCCACAAAGACCAGCTGTAGCTGCAGAGAGCCGTCAGACAACCGCAGGGGCACCCACGGTGCAACGTGCGTTTCTCCTCATTAAAAAGCAAGCCTGACATCAGAGTTGCCTGCTGTAAACCGCGTCTAATCTTCTTTGTTTAAACAGTGAGCAAAGCGCGAGCACAGCCCTGTTCGGTCAGATACCGAGGCAGCTATAATGTGCGTAAAACAACCGAATGTTTACTTCCTCGGTGCCGAGGCAATAAATCCCTACAGGAACAGCGACCGTGCATGCAAGCCACCCTGTATTCCCCCCACCCCCCCCGGATACGAGAGGCACATCGTCATCCAAACCCTTCCCGAGACACACGGGAGCGCGTTAAAACGGAGGCGAGGGAGAGAAAGGGTTTTTCTCCTCCGATTTCACTTTGGTTCCTCAAAACACCGAGCCCGCTCAACAAACAGCTTCACTTCGGCTCGGCCACGACAGCGGAGGTCAGGAAGTCACCCCTTCCTGCAGATTACGTCCCAGCCAAGGTAGGGCAGCACCCGCAGCCGCTCCCCGCCGAACGCCGAAAGCCCGGACGCTCGTTTTCACGCCACCGCCACGGGAGTCGGGTCCCAGAGGCCGTTCCCGGCCAACTCCCCCCGTAAACGGCCCCGCGTCGCGGAGCGCGGGGGTTAATCCCGTGGAGGAGAAACCCAGCGAAAGGTGAGAGAGTCTCCCAAGAACCTCGGAGGCTCCGGCCCCCGAAAACCCCGGCCAAAGGACGCGCTTTGCCTTACGGAGAGCGGACGCTGGAGGACGTTAAAGGCAGGCCCCGAAGAGGCCCAGCGGCCGGCTGGACGGCCGAGAGAGGTCCCTCGCTGGATTGTTTTTAACGCCTCTGCGACTCGGGCACGTTTCGGCATCCTCCGAGGCAGGGGCGGAGCGCTGGCCCTGAACCCCCCTCCCCAAAGCCTTGGGGGGGGGGGGGGGGGGGGGCGGGGGGGGGGGGGCGAC